TACATATGGCAAAATGAACAAAACTGAGATTCTACATAGAAATGAAAAGTTAAAAGTTACTTGTCTGCTAATAGATCTATAGATTAACTGGATTTAACATATTAAATAGAAAATGGTTGGGTCAGAAAAATGACTTAAAATGTAACATGGCTTCAGACATCATTTTCAAAGTATGATCAGGCCCATATTCCTAGAAAATAGAGATTTATTTAGCAAGTTAGAATCTAGTTTTGGCGGATTTTCATGAAAGTATTTTATATACACCTTCTGTAGTGTTTTCATATTGTAAATTCAAGGCATGGCTTGATCTTCTTTTAGCCCAGTGGCAACACATCTGGAAACACTATGTCTCAGTAAAACTTTCATAGGAATTTTGCGTGCTTTGAAATACTGCATTTATGGATATAAAATTCCCTTGGTATTCACTGGCATATTCAACTAAAATGTCACTGACAGGCATATTATTGTCTGCGTTAATAGTCTACACATGAAAGACTCCCCTAGTTCTGTTGAACACAGTTCTTACCGCTAATTGTTCATTAGGCCAGTGATCTATTGTGCTCTCAGGAGGAAAACCAAAATGGTGCAATTAAAATTTGAACCGACATCAGAAGTAACTATACTCTTTCTCTTGTTATTAAATGGAACTATCATGTTTCAGTGGCTGAAAGATGTTAGAATTATTTGGGTCTTATCTCAGCTTCAAGAATCCTAGACTTGCAGTCAGATTATGTGGATCTAGTTAATAGCTATATTGTTGGTGTTTGAATGTCACAGTGGCTGAAGTCACTGAAGCTTCCCATAATAAATGTGTACTGGTCCAGTTAGACTTGATCACAAATGGGTAAGCATCTACACACATGCTAGCATTATTAAGCTTTCAAGATAGGGCTCCAGTGGTATAGTCATGTAACCTGGAAAGACTGGTCAGCACTGCAGCAGACTTTGGGTCAGACAGAGGAACTCTTTCCCAGTCAGCCCGACGGGTTTCCACCAACGCAGTCTGTCCAGCAAAGAAGCTGGAGTGGCGTTTAGGATCCCTCATCCTCAAGTGAGCTGCTCTCCGCCAGGTTGCACAACCATTTTTTATTTTCCTTCTGGGTGTTTGAAAAGTAACCACATTAACATGGCCGTGCAGATTGAAGAATTTCAGTTTAACAGATAGATGTGAAAGTCTTAGTATAAGTGGAAATTCTCTTAACCAACTTCACTTTAAAACACACACTGGATTAACCAGCCTTGTTATTTTCTCTATTAGTTCCCTCTGATTGTGCCCAATGGCATGCTCAGGGTTTGCAACTGGTAGGCTACTCTCTAGAATGCCAACATGCTTTTGTTCTACCAGCTGAGGTGTGTGCTTATCAAGAAGCAGTTTTGTTTATTTCTGAAACTTGTATTGCATTTGTATTATGGTGGTTAAATAATTTAATTGCAAATTGCATAAGCCAGTGAATTATAAGTGTGAAAGGAAAGTGCTTTAAAAAGACTAGATAAGGATGAGCACTGAACAGAAATGGATATCGAAATAGATGTGAGTGAGACAACTGAAAGATATGGAGAGAATATGCACTCACCTTGCTTTACACGTGTCTTTTAAATCCATGCTATAGACCAGGTGCAGTGGCTCATACCTGTAATCCCAGCACTTTGAGAAACTGGGAGGGTTGCTTGAGGCCAGGAGTTTGAGACTAGCCTGAGCAATATAGCAAATCCCATCTTTATAAAAAATAAAAAAATTAGTCAGGTGTGGTGGTACATGACTGTAGTCCCAGCTACTCAGAAGGTTGATGTGGAAGAATTTCTTGAGCCCAAGAGGTAGAGTTGGCCATGAGCATTGGTCGTGTCACTGCACTTCAGCATGGGCAACAGAATGGACACTGTCTCAAAAAAAAAAAAAAGCCAGGAGGCTGAGGTAGTTTAGCCTGTAATCCTAGCACTTTGGGTGGCCAAGGTGAGTGGATTACCTGAGCCCATGGATTCGAGTCCAACCTGGGCAACTTGGCGAGACCTCGTCTCTACAGTAAATAAAAAAAAATCAGCCGGGTATAGTAGCGCACGCCTGTAGTTCCGGCTACTTGAAAGGCTGAGGCAGAAGGATCACCTGAGCCCAGCAGGTCAACGCTGGGGTGGCCATGAGCGTGCCACTGCACTCTAGCCTGGGCAATGAAGTGAGACTCCAACTCAAAAAAAAGTGAAACTGTACAGTGACCCGTGCCTGTAATCCCAACACTTTGGGAGACTGCAGCAGTAAGATCACTTGAGTCAAGACCAGCCTAGGCAACATAGTGAGACCTTGTCTCTACCAAAAGAAATATAGAAAAGTAGCCAGGCACGGTAGTTTGGGCCTGAAGTACCAGCTAAGGTGAAAAGATTGCCTGAACCTAGGAGGTTGAGGCTGTGGTAAGCCATGCTTGTGTCACAGCACTCCTGCTTGGGTGACAGAGTGAGACCCTGAGTCAAAAAAAAAAAGGTGAGCTGGGCTCGGTGGCTCAGCCTGTAATCCCGCGCCTTTGGGAGGCTGAGATGAGTGGATTGCCTGAGCCCATGGGTTCGAGACCCGCCTGGGCAGCGAGACCTCATCTCTACAGAAACGGCTGTTGTCAAGAGTTTAGATAAACAGATTGGAGCCCACCGTATACAGTAATAGTATGCAGCCATTTCAGTAACAGATGCAATCTTATGTGAATTGACGTAGATGGAGGCCCACAAAATGTTGTTTGGAGAAGTTAGTGAGTTGCAGAATATTATTGCATTATTTTGTTTTGGTAAAAACTAACAATGATATGTATATATGTGAATGTATTCAGATATATTATGTTAATATAAATTCAAAATGCTAATATATACAAAGGACGTGTACAGGAAAGGATGTCAAAATATTAACAGGGGCACGTGGTAATTTTATAAGTTGTGCGTTTCTGAAATGCCATCATGTTTATAAGGATATCTTTAAATGAAAAAATGACCATTAAAATGAACCAAAATAATATTTTTTTTAAAAAGTGAAACTGCAAACCATAGTTGATGCATTTATTACAGATGTGGTTCATGTATACATTTAAAACTAGAATGTTAAAAGTATGTATGGTTTTGGTCACCTGTTTTAGGTGACTTCCTATTAACTGACCAATTACTGTTCCTGATTAGTCACCCTACTTACACCTTTGGAAAACTGTAGTGGTTCCAGTGGGGATTGCTCTCCGTGTCTCCCTGATAATTCCTCTAGTGCTCCCTCTACCTGTGTTTTCCTGTCTTTAAAGTGAGTACAGTGGTTCTCCTTTAAGTTTATAAAAAAGGGACCAGATGCAGTGGCTCATGCCTGTGATCCCAGCACTTTGGGAGGCAGAGGTGAGATAATTGCCTGAGCCCAGGAGTTTGAGACCAGCCTGGGCATCATGGTGAGACCTCATTTCTACAATAAATAAATAAATTAGCTGGGCATGATGGTGCATGCCTGTAGTCCCAGCTATTCATGAGGCTGAAGCGGAAGGATCACTTGAAGTCCAGTAAGTCCAGGCTGTGGTAGCTGAGATTATGTCACTGCACTCTAACTTGGGCAACAGAGTGAGACTCTTGACTGACTCAAACAAAAAGCAAAAGGGTAAACTTTAAGTAATATGTGCATGAGTACTTTTGGAATAAATGTGCTACATACTGTAGATACTATGATATTATTATTTATAATAGGGAGCCTTTGACTTACAGTTTAAGAAAATGCTCGCTTTATCCTTAGACTCAGCTTTTATGTACAAAATCAAGAAACTGTTTTGCTTTGTTACCTGGCATTTTGAAACACCGGTTTGAGTGATTTTGTAAACTCAGAACAAGCAAAATAAACTTAAAGTAATAAACTAAAATTTAAGATGAGTTAGCTTTAATTGTTTGGAAGATATTGAAGAAGTTAGAGAATTAATTTGTCTCAGACCTTGGATATTAGAGTTTAAAGAACCCTAGACTTGGAATCAAACTAACTGTTCTGTGCTCTTGATAGTGCTTGTCTTTGATGCTCTGATCCTGGGCTGTTAATCATTGTTACATTTCACAGGGATTTATAAAAGATTTCTTGTACTAACAAAAGGCTTTAGGTTTGATTCACATAAAAGCACTAGCTGTTTTAGTACTCTCAGTTTTCATGGACATTAGCCTCTTTAGTTAACATTTTCCATATTGGAAAATCAAACTACTATTATACGGTTCTTAATTATTTGCATGTGGATTATTCTTTCATTGGTAATTAGCTTTTGGCGGCATGGCTTTGGCAAATACACACACACACACACACACACACACACACACACACACACACACACATACACACATGCACACAGGCTTTGGGGTCAAATGAATCTGTGTTTGAATCCTGGCCCTGCAACTTACTAGCTTTGTGACTTTTGGAAAGTTACTTAAGCCTTTATTTTCTTATCTCTATAAGCATGAATTGTGCACCTCATAGGGTTGATGAAGATAAAAAGAGAATATCTGTGAAGTGCATGGGCATTGGAATAGAAGACACTCAATAAATACTCCCTTTCCCTTGGTGCCAATTGTAAAATTTCATTCTATGTCACAGATAAAAAGAGGAAAATGTATGAGCTACCCATCCATTTGCTTGATGTGGTAGATCTGAAAACCATTTGTAATGAAACAGAATAAGGGGTGTAGCATTTACTACTCTGAGCTTCTGTCATTTCTAAAGTTAATCCATCTCTTCCTTAAGTTCCATCTGGTATTGTCAGATATTTAGAATTTGAACGTTTAGTGTTTGTGGCCCTGACTTTAAATGTGTGACCAGCAACTGAAGGAAAAGGAGCCAGGTGAAGGCTGTAGAAAAGAATAAATAAGGTTTACTGTGGTCATTGTAGCTCAAAGTAATCGTTTTTCAAAGTTATTATTTTATTACACAGAACTAGGAAAAAGAAAAGAGGCATTTACCTTAATGTACTGTTATTACTTTCTGTTTAAAACTGTTTCACCTTGCTTTTTTTTGTTTGTTTCTCCAGCCTCTGTTCCATCTCTTACCCATCTTTGTCGTTTGGAAATTCGGTCCAGTCTGAAACCAGAACACCTACGATCTGACAGTTTTATTTGTCAGTTGCCACTTCCCAGAAGCCTGCATAATTATTTGCTCTATGCAGATGTTCTGAGAATGAATGAGGTTCCAGAAGCAGCAGCTAATCAAGATAAAGAAATCAGTGAAGCAACTTAACATAGCTCATTTCTTTCTCTGAAACTACCAAGACAGAAGAGCTGTGAAGTACAAATTATTCATGATTTTATAGTTACAAAAGATGATTTTTGTTTGTGTGCTTGGTTAGGTTTTGGGGGACAGTAGTTTAATGTGAATGTTTACAACTGGGTTTCCCAGTAAAAAACAAATTGTAAACCTCACTTATTGCTGTTTTATCCACCAGTACATTTTATGTTGTAATATTTATTTACCTGACCATTTTCTGCTTTTTTCTGCTAATGAACTATGATGCTGCTTCTAGTGGTATGTTTCCATCTATGATAATGAACTATGATGCTGCTTCTAGTGGTATGTTTCCATCTATGATTCCTGTTTATCTGGTCCTAGGAGCTCAGAATGGAGTGTATCAACCTTCGCTGGAAGTGTATATAGCTGTAGTGTTTAATCTCTTACTATTATTGTAATTATTATTTTAGTTGGGGTTGAATATTTCTTACGTTTATAAAAGAACAAGTTTTTCATCTTATATTTCATTTTCATCTCTGAATTCAGCCATTTTTATGAAGAATGATATACATTGCCTTTTCTTACATAAACTCAGGGGGAAGTTTATTTTAAAAGAATGTAGGAACTCAACTGTATTGCTGTTTTTTCTTTTTTACTCTTTGGCCAGAAAATATCCTATTTCTAACCTGCAAAGACAAGAACAGACCTAAACTCAAAGACATGCTCAGTTGAAAAAAAAGGTCAGTTTTGAGATAAGTGACAATTTTAGCACATTTAGGATTTTAATTAGGAGACTGAGGGGGCATTTCTGGGGCACCATCTTTAAAGAAAGTTATTTAGGATTCAACCTCCACTCAGTTCCAAAATCAGAGTAATGAAGCAGTAATAGCCGGTTCTATTAATATTAAAGTGTTTTTCTTTCTTATTATCTAGTTGGGTTATCAAACAGTTCATGAAATAAAGACCTCAGAATCCTAGGTTAATGAAGCACCACCTCATAAGTTTTTGCAATTGCTTGATCTAAATCTAGAATTGGGAAGAACTGAATACTGGCTCAAATGAGCTGTGACAAGAGGCTGTGGAGACTAGCCTTGAGAGAAGGGTTTTGAGTGAGAACATGACTGTCACAGTAGACAACCAGACATGTCCCCTGGGTCCAAAGGAGTCGAATCTTCTGTTGGGATGCTGAGGCTTAAAATAGACGGGAGTGGGCTGGCCGTTTCCGTCTCTGATTGGCCTTTGGTGTTTGACAAAAGCAATGATGAAGGTGGATGAGCAAGGGCAGCATTGTTAAGGCCAGAAAGAGGACCGAGCTCTTGCCTTACACTATAGCAGCCTGTGGGCTGGAAACAGTTTTAATGTGGATGTACAGGCAGAAATAGGTTTGGATATGGAAGACCAAGTGGGAATTCCGATAATAAGGAAACTCCAAAACTGTGTGTACCATGTAGTTGTAAAAATGTTGTCATAATTTTATTTTCCAAACCCTAAGTCTCTAGTTTTTAACTTCACTGTTTTGTTGGAGACAAATGTACATAGAATGTTTGTCTTTTTGTGTTTATGCTTGAATATATAATAAAAACTATTATCCATAACTTACCATTGAGTTCTTCTTAAAAATCTGAAAGTTGGTATTTTAGAAACAACTTAAAGTCCTTGGTATTTAACATTGGTAAATGATTTTGCTTTATTGTATGCAGTGTATTTTTTTCAGGCTATTTTATGATAAAGTATTTATGGTTTTTTTTTTTTGAGTTGGAGTCTCACTCCATGGCCCAGGCTGGAGTGTAGTGGCATGCTCACGGCCACCCCAGTGTCGACCTGCTGGGCTTAGGCAATCCTTCCACCTCAGCCTTCCAAGTAGCCAGATCTACAGGCACACGCCACCATGTCCAGCTAATTTTTTTTTTTTTTTAATAGAGATGAGGTCTTGTCAAGTTACCCAGGCTAGTCTCGAACCCATGGACTCAGGCAATCCTCTCACCTCAGCCTCCCAAAGTGCTGGGATTACAGACATGAGTCAATGCGCCTGGCCAGTATTTATGATTTCTATGACTTACAGCAAAGACTCCGTGAATCTAAAAGTATGCAAAGGTTAGGTGAGTTATAGTTACACTTCTGATCAGAGTGATAACATCTGGGCTGGGCTCGGTGACTCAGCCTGTAAACCCAGCACTTTGGGAGGCCAAGGTGAGTGGATTGCCTGAGCCCATGGGTTCGAGACTCGCTTGTGCAACTTGATGAGACCTCATTGTAAGGTTGGAGGTACCGGAGGATGGGGCGGGCCTCGCCTCAACAAGATGGCTCCAATCCAGACCAGGAGAACCATGGACGAAAGTGAGCCAGCAAAAAAAATGAGTGACCGGAACTAAGACTCCAGCCACAAAGCCAGCCAGTACCTATTACAGCAACTCTAACAACCCTGTTCAGCCAATCGCCAGCAGATGTGACAGCTGTCCCAACCAGTGATTGCTCTCCCCAAACCCCTCACAGCTTTCTCAGTGTGCCCTTTATAAATCCATCGCCCATCTTGCTGGGCGCGACTTCTCCGGCCCACAGCTACATGGGCTGGTGAACTTCACCCGGGATTGCGCTAATAAATTTTTCTTGGCTCCTTTGTTGCCATTTCGCCTGGTCTGGTTTCATTTATCTTACACTCATCTCTACAATGAATCAAAAATTAACTGGGCATGGTTGCGCACGCCTGTAGTTCCAGCTACTTGGAAGGCTGAGGTGGAAGGATCACCGGAGCCCAGCAGGTCGAGCTGCAGTGGCTGAGAGCGGTCACTGCACTCCAGTCTGAGTGACAGAGTGAGACTCCAACTTAACAAAAACAAAACAAAAACAAAACAGAGTGATAATATCTGGATCAGAATCTTAAGCCCATGCATAATGATGCTTTGACACTCTCAGTTCAAAGTCCTGGGGAACCTCATAAAGAACCCCAATACCGTATTTTCCTAATGAGAGTGCATATTTCTGGAGCAGGGCACAAATCGGCAGTCTTGATGACATCCTTCCATGATCCCTTGTTTCCTGTTGATCCGTCTTGTCATAGGAGATCTTTCTCTGGCCATATATTGTAATAACAATAATCTATACATCCTTTTTTTTTAGTTCCATCCCCTTTTTGCCAAATAGCAAGTGTTTTGATCTGCAGTTTTCTGTTGGCCCTACTTCCCAGAGATCAATTATACTTCTCTAGTATCATGTGACCACCCATGACACCAACTATATGACTCACAGCCTGTATCATATTTATGTTACATGATCAGTTTACATCTTTGTCTTTAGAGCTACTCTTTCCACCTAAGTCCAACTACAAATGTTTGAAAATGATGATATATATATATATATGTAGCCGGATGTGGTGACATGCATTTGTAGTCACAGCTGCTCAGGAGGCTGAGATGGACGGAGCGCCTGAATCCAGGAGGTCGAAGCTACAGTAAGCTGTGATTGTGTCACTGCACAACAGTCTGGGTGACAGAGTGAGACCCTGACTCAAAAAAAAAAACCCCCCAAAAAACCTCTAAGCCACAGAGGTCCCTATTGTTTTTTCTGTGAGCTAGGAATGTAGTAATAGCACTTCTGGTATTATTCATTCTTCTTAATTTTCTATACTGAAGCACTTGTCTTCTTCCTTATCTCATTCACACACTTAAATCAGGTGTCAAGATTAAACATGTAAGTGAAGCCCATTACTCGTGGCTCTGTATGACTTGTAGTTTTTTGGAAGGTAACAAAGTGGGTGTACTTGCATTCTATGAACAGCTGGTGTTAAATCTTTGAGTTTACACGCATACATCCCCTCTAAGAGAAGGCAGTGTGTATGACCAGATATATACGGTGTGTATCTGACAGCTTACACACTAGTTTTATGATAGAAACACACTTTTTTCTTGACTCTTTTTTTATTTCTGAGCAAAATGTTTAAGGACAGTTTAATATTCCTGTGTGCAACCGTTAGTGTTTCTTGTTTTGCTTTTTCTATCAGTGAAAAAAAATTCCATTTGAGGCTGAGTTGTGTGTTTGTTCTCATCTGTATTTATTATTATTATTGTTGTTGTTATTAAAAGATGGTCATTGAAACACAGTACCTTGCAGTAAGTAAACTTTTTGTTTAATAAAATCCTGTAGTTTTAATGAGAAAGGGAACTTGTTATGCTTAGTATTTCTGTGACAAATTGGTAGGAAAATGTATAGCCTCTGTTTGCAACAACAAATCAATAATTCATGCTGAGAGGAGGCCAATCTTAATTATATTTTCTATGGAGGCACATACTTTGAAATAACTTGGGCACAGATTTTACACAAATCTTCTGCAGTTGCTTTGGTGGACAAAATATATTTTAATTTTAAATAAAGGACATCTATTAACCTGTCACTATGCTAATAAAAATCTTTCTAAACATTCTTATATAGGAATAACAATAATAGCACATTTAAAGTGTTTCCTTTTCAAAGAAATGCATGACATTAAAGAAAAATATTTTAAAATTTAGAAAAAAGGAAGGGAGGTGAATCTATAGTCCTATCATCCTGACCTGTTATTAATGTTAGTCCATGCATTGAAATATCTTTTCTCTCTCTTTAAAAAATATGTACACAAGTTTATGGCTGAAATCAAATGTCTTTATAATGTTGTACGTTGATCAAGCCTCCTTATGATAATGATACCTGCAGCCATCCTCAAGCCATGCGTTAACGTGAACTCTGACTAGGTAAGAAGAGAAATAATGAAGCATCTTTTCCTAAGAATCTGCAGAGAGCAAATAACCAGTGCTTCCTATTTGTAAAGGAAAGAAGAGGATGGAGGTGGAGACCTTCATGAACCTGCTGTTGTCATCTGATCTCAGCCGAGGGTAGTCAAGCAATTGCATATTCTTGGCATGACTCTATTGTAACTATGTGTTGTATTTTTAATGAAGGAATTTTAAAAATGCAATTGTTGCAGTAAAGATAGGTGTCTGGGTGACTTTTCTGTCTCTTGGCTTCTTTTTCATGCATAGCACTTAATAGATGAAGCAGAACAGGTGGTAATTGCCATTGGTGCACTGAGACTTGTGAATAGCATCTGTTTATGTCTCTTTTACCATCAAATGGTTAGGCTAACCTTCTCTTCACTACTCTTCTATGTGAATGATAAAAGTCTATCATGAGTCATTATAAGGTGCT